CCCACATGGTAGCTACCAACTACCTGTAGCTCCAGTTCCTGGTCACATCAAAAATACCACTCAGTTATTCTAAGAGGATAAAGGGACCCCCTCTCTTCCATCCTTTCCTTATCTTTAGATGAGGAAGGAAAGCTTTTCATTTAAAACCAGCCATCTTGGAGTGGGGGAAACATTAGACTAAGAAAACAAAACAGAGCTGGGCGGTGGTGATGTGTGCCTTTAATCCCAGCATTCTGGAGGCAGAGACAGGCAGATCTCTGTGAGTTCGACCAGTTTGATCTACAAGAACTAATTCCAGGACAGCCTCCAACGCCACAGAGAAACCCTGTCTCGAAAAACCACACACACACACACACACACACACACACACACACACACACACACACACACACACACACACACACACACACAAAAGAAAAGAAAACAGAAAATAAACAAAACAATCAGAATCCAGTGATGCCTTGTAATCCCAGCTGTGGGGAGGCTGGTGCAGGCAGCGTTTCTGAACAGATACACAGTGGGCTCCACAATGAGTTACAGGGGAGCCTGAGATGATTGTGTGAGGCCTTACACCCCCAAAACCACACCCCCTCCACACACACCATAAACATCTAAAGCCTCACAAATTTTAGTTAAGTAATCAAAGAATGAAGTCATAGAATCAGCAGAGCATCATGCTTTGACTTTGTGTTACTTTCTCCTTCCCATCCAGCAAAATGGAGAGATTCAGAATACTTGGTGGATGGGAGTAGTTGACAAAGTGAAGATTCCAATTGTTTTAGTCGTTCTTTTTTTTCTTTTGTAGTTTAAGGAACTTTTAGGTTACATGTTGATTTAATACACCTATTTGGCAGTCATTTGGGAGACTACATTTCTTGTTGGCTTTGAGAAAAGCAATCTCATTTCTCTGCAGAATTTCTGGTGGGTGGCCTGGTAATTTGACAAGAGGTAAATGGACAGCAACAACAGAGGAGGGCTTGGTATGACTGAGAGGCTTGTTTTAAATTTCATTGTTACTCACTATGGTTTCTCACGTAAATACATACGAATAACTTCTAAAATACCCACGACAGGAAAAGGCAGGCACAAAGAGCTTGATAATCTCCCTGAGGTGATTTGCTAAGTTCCAGAACAGCTTACAAAATCAGCAGGAGTTACAGAGACCCACTCTTGCTAGAGATGCCTCCTGAGTGAGGTAGGATTCCTGATTGTCCTGGCTACATTGTGAGATTAGGGTCTGTTATCAGCAACTCTCCAGCCCCATCTCTCCCCCTTCCCCTGAAGAAATCTTTCTAGAACCCTAATTAGTCGGGTTTCTCAGCTTAAATGCTTCAGGGGTTCCCTTGACAGACAGCGAAATAGTTCTTCCCCAAGCAATCTCTGAGAACTTGTGAGGAAAAAATTAAAATTTGCTTAAAGAAAAAAATCCAAGCAAGCCCTGGTTTCTGGAAATGGACACACAGAACTGAATAGTTTATAGTGCGTGCAGGCCCTGATGCATATTGTTTAATGAAGTGTGTTAAGATTGGCCTTAGACCTGTAGATGTCTTCTAGAAGGCATTTCACTTTTGAGGATATCCAGTTATTGCTGTTGTGGCCAACAGTGGCGTTCAGGACAGGATTCAAATGCCCAGTGTGTTGTCACCTCCTCTCATGAGATTCTCACATACCCTCCTCTGCAATCCCCGGTGACAAGCTGACTGTCACAAGGTACTTCCAAACATTTGCTAGTCATCCACTCTCCTTCCCTCCCCACTCCCTTCCTCCTCCTTCTCATCATTCCCTCTCCTCTTCTGTGGTTTCACTATACTTCTCAGGCTAGTGTAGAACTCATAATTCTCCATGGGCAAGGTTCAGGGCGGAACTACAGGTGATACTGGTAACTTCAGCTGGCCTCTTTAAGCTGACTTCTGCCTACATTAGGTCCCTTCTTTTACTCACCCATCTTGGGCAACGCTCTGTGAACTTGGACTTTGCTGAAGGCTACTTGTCCAGAAGTAATTAAAAACTAAATTCAGGTTCTCAGAGCTGGCCCAGCAGTAAGGAATGTTTGCTGCTCAGGTTTAGTTCCTGGCACTCACAAGGTGGCTCAAAACCATCCGTAACTCCAAGGGATCAGCTATCTCTTCTGACCTCTTGTGGCACTGCACTCATTTGGAACACATACATACACAAAATAAAGTAAGGAAAATATGAAGGAAAAAAAAACAAAACCTTAAATGGACATCACTCTTCCTCATACAGGAATTTTTGTTACCAGTAAATCCCTTCACAGATTTTAGTGCCTTAAACAAGAATAGCTGTATCATGTCTTTTGGAAAGGTCAGGGGTCACAGCGAGCCTCTGCTGGGTCTGTGGCTCTGAGGGTCCACTGTTTTGTTGAGACTCACTCAAATGCCTTCAAGGTTGCTGTGTTCTTTTGCTCAGGAGAGGGGCTGCACACAGGCTACACTCCAGTCTGGCAGGTCTGAGATCCTGGTCTGGAGGGCATTTTGGCCTCCAGAACAGAAAGCAGAGGTTGGATACCCTCTTCTTGTTCCCCCAGTCTCACTTTCCTGATGCAGTAACTGTGATGCTAGGGTTTAAAGAGAGGCATATCTTAAATAATTCGGCTCCTAAATACCATCTGAAAGTCAACTCCCTCGTCTGATCTTCAAATGAAGAAAAAATGGACTGATTTAGAATACCAAAAGAACTCTGTCAGACTTACTGAGTGAAGGTGGTAGAGTATGTGTAGAAGAGGTTGGCGAATGTGATTTTGAGTATATGCAGTTCTGGGTTCTTGCCCTTAATTCAGGTTCTAATCTGGAGTAAGATGAGAATGCTCTGATCTCTGAAGGAGGCCATGGTAAGCCTCTGTAGTTCTTCATTTGTTTGCCTGAGCAGAGCCACTTGACAGCTGGCCCGTGCCCTACTCATATCCAATGTCTGTACTTGGACTCCCAATACTTTTAAAATATGCACTGTCTTTCTATCTTTCCCTGTCTATAGCACACCCAGAATAAATTAAGCATTAGTGAAGTTTTAATAATTTAGAGTACTGTGGAACTTTTTCTGACATATATGCCTAAAAATGGTGTAGTTAGGACATTGATCTTGAATCAAAAATCCCTTCCTTCCTTCCTTCCTACATCCCTCCTTCCTTCCTTCCCTCTCTCCCTCCCTCGACAGGATTTCTTTTCTTTCTTTCTTTCTTTTTTTTTTGTATAGCCCTGGCTGTCCTGGAACTCAGCTCTGTAGAACAGGCTGGTCTCAAACTCACAGAGATCCACCTGCCTCTGACTCCTGAGTGCCTGGATTAAAGGCATGTGCCACCATAGCTTGGCTAAAAAAAATCTCTATTTTTCAATCTTCATTGTTTCCAAATATTTTCTCCTTTTAAGTCAAGGGAATTGTTCTGGTTTTGTGATGGCATTTCTGTTCAATTTTTAAGCTGTTAGAAGTTACAAAAGCAATCTTTTGATACTAAATGGCTTTTGAAGCAGATATATGCACTTTCTTCTGTCCTTGCTTTGCCGGTCCAAATTGCTTCTGCCTCATATTATCATTGCAATTGCATTTTATGACGTTGTCCATTGGTCTTGGTGAATTTTAAGAATTCACCTAGTGTCTGATACTAACTTGTAGCATTGGGTGTCATTTGCAGTCTTGAAAAGGCAGGGGTGTCTCTGCAAGAAAAGAAAAAAGAAAAGAAGTCAGAAGTAGATTTTTACCCCTAGGAGATTTGTAGTACTCTTCAAAATAAGGCGATGGGATGACTTTTAGAATGTATCCATTGTTGTTCAGCCTTATCCTAGCAAGAGTACTATCTTTTAAAAATTTTATATGTATATGTGTGTGCATGCATGCATGCACATATGTGTGCACATTTGAGTGCAGGTTCCTGCAGAGGTCAGAAGAGGACATTATATTCCAAGGAGTTGGAGCTACAGGCAGTTGTGAGCCACCTGATTTGGGTACTGGGAATGGAATTCAAGTCCTTTGCAAAAGTAGTGCTTCTAACTACTGAGCCATTTCTTCATCCCTAAGAGTGTTTACTTTTTCCACGTACACTCTGCACCCAGTTCATTTGTTCTAGCTTGTATTTCTTTTTAATCCTGAAATAGTACATCATAAGCAAATGTCTTGAATTGTACTGTAAACTCAATAGTAGAAGTTTTTTGATTTTTAAATGTTTGCATTTGTGTATGCATGTGTGTTCATGTGTGTGGAGTCAGGGGACAGTCTTCTTTCAGGCAGGGTCTCTTTTGTTGCTTAACACTGCATACAGCAGGCTATCTGGCTTGTGAGTTTCTGTAAGAGTCCTAGGATTACAGACATGTACCACCTTGTACCTATTTTTGTGCATTCTGGTGATTGAACTCAGGGCCTCATGCTTGCACACTTGTGTGGCAAGCACTTCACCCAGTGATCGACTTCCCCAGCCTATATTTATTCCCTTGCTTTATTATGTAGAAATCCTAACCTGCCTGTGTCCCCTATTCCATATCCACTATATCACTGTCTCACAATATCCACCACCTAAAGCAGGTTTGCAAGTAGGAGGAGTCTTGGGTTAGTTTTGTTGGCGATGCATCACAATAGCACAGAGTGCAGGTGTGAAGCAGTTTGCATTCAATAGGAAGGGGCATGCATGCATGCTGAGGGCTGTGTGACAACACCCATTGAATGCCATGTGGGAAAAGATGGTACCAGCCCCCCCCCCCTTGATCCCCTAAATACACCAGAGAATATCGCTGCCACAGAATTGTACTGTAATGTTTTCTAGGTGTGATTCATTCACAGTTTAATATGCTTCTAGTTCTGCCTTGACTTTTCCCTCAGGAAGAGCCTAAAATCTCTTCATTATAATATAGACAGTGTACTGCACTTTGAATACAAATTTATCCATGTTCAGACTAATTTTTCCAGTGATTGTCTCTACCCTGGAGAAGTGCCTTTAATGAATTACATACAAATTGTGTAATTTAAGAAGTTAATTTGGTTTTCTGGTTACACAGGACTAAAAACAGCCCTTGTAGAGAGAGATGACTTCTCATCGGGGACCAGCAGCAGAAGTACTAAATTGATCCACGGTGGTGTGCGATATCTCCAGAAGGCTATCATGAAGTTGGATGTTGAGCAGGTAATTGTGTATGCTGGCTGTTAAACAAAAATTGCCACAGTGCTTTTTCTACCCAATTAAATCAGGCTTTTTTTTTTTTTTTTTTAAATGGCTTTATAAACATTGCTTCCTATTCAAGATACCTGTTTAGTGCATGCTGCTGGACTATCTTTTAGGAGAAGTGTGCCAGTTCGTTCTGTGTAGTATTATGTATGTTTATGGGTAATCAGGGGCCTTTTCTGCACAAGCATGTCAAAGTAGCAGATTTACAGAGTCACTTTTGGATGTGTTGCCTTTTAACAATTGTGATTGGGTTTTTGCCAATGGCCACCAAATTGCTACTTCTGAGCAGTTTCAGGGGAGCTGTGTTGTAATGCAGACTGAGTGCCAAATTGATCTCTTAACTGCAGCTGCAATCATGCACTCATATTGTCACTGACATATTCTTCAGGGGGAAAAAAAATGATCTGAGTCACGCTTTCCGTGTGTCACACTTTATTGTGTCCAGTCTGCCATCATTTGAAAACTGCCAACGCAGTGTAGAAAATGACATTTCCCAGAGGGGTGAAAAAAAATCAGCTTCCTTCCATATCTGCTTTTCATACAAGGAAAACATAGCAGCAAGGACTTGCCATTGTCAAGTTTTGAGTCTGGCCCCCTTTCTCGCCTTGACAAGTCAGCTTTGAATCTGTCCCCGTTTCTATGTCTCTCTTCAGCATCTGTGATGGATGCAAAGAAAACAGCCCAGGATTCATGATCCACTGATTTCAGATGTGTTCCCACTTATTTTGTCAACATCTACAGCCTTATTGTCATGTGTAAAATTCATATTATAATAATAATGCTAGCTCTTTAGGCAGGCATAATGAGGGCCACAGGAGTGAAGACAAAGCCTTCTTTACCATCTGTAAAATAGCTGTCCAGGGCTGCATATCATCTTTGCTGGGTTTAGGGAAGGCAAGAGAACTTTCCATGAATTTGAGCAATCTGTTATCTCTTACCCGGAGAAAACATTCTGGGGAACTGAGAAAGGGGACAATCCAGAGAAAGCAAGATAAATGGTTACAATAATCTTGTAACTCAAGTCAGGAAAATATCTTACACCTGGGAACTCTGACAGCATGTTTTTCTCCTATGCAAATACAGTTAAGGTTTCTAAAAAATCTTTGAGGTTGACAGCATGATGTATTATTAGAGATTTGATTAGGAGGGAGCTCTCCTCGCTCAGAGGTGGAAGGTTTCTGTATATCAATCAGTTGGCAGGGTGTCTATTTGCCATTTGAAAATATTATGATCTGTTACTGCCAAACTAATTTTCTCTGTTTTGATTTTCAGTATAGGATGGTGAAAGAAGCCCTCCACGAACGAGCCAACTTACTAGAAATCGCTCCCCATTTATCAGCTCCCTTGCCTATCATGCTTCCAATTTACAAGTAAGCCTTTGCTATCACCTGTAGGCTATGTGCTTGTCTGAGGGCAACAGAGCAACACGGCTCTCATGGAAACAATCCTTTCCTGTGTGTTTCTTAATGTGGTTTTAATTGGTCCTGCTCTTTAATCCATTTCAAATACTTTAATATTTAAAAATATAGGTTTTCTTAAATGCTCTCTGTGGACATACATCTAAGGCCTGGATTTTGAAGGCAAAGAAGATTGAGTTCTCTGTTTATAATTAATGGACTCTTATTCCAGTTTTCCAGAGAATGTAGGTGAACAGCTGTGTTTACTCTGAGGCATTCGAACGAGGTCATGTGCAGTGTAAAATGTAGACCCCCCCCATTATCCGTATGAAAAATCTGAAATTACTGTGTAGCAACTCAGAACCAAGCTAGCTATATTGGGTCATTTTTATTGCCCAAGTTAACATAGGTGAAATTCATCCGGGAGGTGTGATTATACAGGATCAAACTCATTCCCCTAATGTTAGAACTGTATGTGAAGTTGCTCAGTGGGAGACAGGCCCAGTAACATGAAAGGGTAGTTTATGTAATTCTTTAGCCACATGGGTTCTGTAGGGCTTGAAACAGATGTGGTTATCTAGTCCATGTGTAGTTAACAGACTGTTGAGGGCTTCTTCAAACTGAGTGTAGTTTACATTTACCAAGGCCTCCAGACTACATTGGTTGATTCCATCTCTAGACCTGTGAGTACCAGGCATGGCTGTTTATTTTGAATGCATCCTGAAGAATTCTAAGATGCCATCGGGACCAGCCATGGAGACAATCATAAACTCTTGTTTGTTCTCTTCAGTATGGCAGCTGAGCCAGTGTCACAAGCAGCTGTGCAGGCTCTTCCCCCCCACCCCCCAGCCCATCACTTCTAGGTTTAACTTTGCTTTTCCTAAATGGCTTTTCTTGTAATTTAAGGTGACATTCTATGTTATGCTATGTTTCTAAAAAAATCCCCTCTCTCCCTGCTTGTGCTGTAGGTGGTGGCAGTTACCTTATTACTGGGTGGGAATCAAGCTGTATGATCTGGTTGCAGGAAGTAATTGCCTGAAGAGCAGTTATGTCCTCAGCAAATCCAGAGCCCTCGAGCATTTCCCCATGCTCCAGAAGGACAAGCTGGTAGGAGCCATTGTCTACTATGATGGTATGTCATATTTCTTTTCTTTGTACAAGATACAAAGAAGTGCACTGACCCTTATATAGTACACTACAGTGAGATAGGTTTGCATTCTTCTTGCTTCTTATGCAATAAACAAACTTTTTTTTAAAGTACTGGCTGAAAACTACCCAGAGTGCCTTTCTTCTAATAATCTTTGTTTTGATTAATTAATTAAAGTATTTTTTTTATTTTTTATTAAGATGTTCTAGACCAGGCTGGCCTGGAACTCACTGCTATAGACTAGTCTGCCTTCACATTTGTGGCAGTTCTCCTGCCTCAGCCTCCAAAGTGCTGGGATTACAGGTATGAGCCACGGCACCTGGCTATTTGTGTTATATATTTTTTTCCTCTTTCACTTCTACCTGTGTCTCATGGTTGGTTCGGCCCATTTCTCATGCTATGACTTTCACTCCACCCTCATATCATTCAATTTGTTATATGTTTGGCAGTGAATACTTGCCTTATGAATATATTATGATGTTGAAAGCAGCTGAGGATTTGTTAGATTTTCTAGATGAAACCTCTATTTTCAAGGGGTTATAAACCTAGAGAAAAATGCCCTTTGGGCTGAAATTGACATGTTTCTATTTTGCATAGGACACATCATTCTTGAACGTATAATTTATGTGTTGAAGATAGATGAACGGCATATCTCTTAAACCAAACTTTCCTGTTGTATTACTTATTTGCTTGCTGGTAGATGTTTTCTGACCCGACTTTATATTTGTTATATGTTCTATGTGAATTCTTGTGTGTGTGTGTGTGTGTGTGTGTGTGTGTGTGTGTGTGTACATAAAATGATTTGTGCATTTTTGTTTGAGGAAACTAAATAATAACATATTTCTGGATAGACCACAATCAACAGTGACAATGCAAAACAATACAATCAAAGCCATTTACAGATCTTTATTGGTCATTTTAAAGCATGTACAGGACTAGAAAATAATTTAAGAATATTCATTTACATGAAACTAGCTGGACACAGGTGCTTCTACATGGTGAAAAGCTTAGAAATTTTATGATACAAAGACACCTTAGGCTTCGAGTCTCAGTGATTCCTCCTGTTATATGGTTTTTATATTTGGTGTTTGATATATGAATTCTTACATAAAGAAATGTTCTTTTATGTTGTGTTGCTTTAGAATATTTGATGCATATATTTTGTATATGTGATACTATATCTGCCTTTAAGGCCACCTTTCCTTGTCTTCTTCTTTTTTTTTCCCTCCCCTTTTTACTTTGTTCCAATATTACCTTTCTGAATCAATTCAGCTGACTGACAGGCTTTTATATATAAATGCAGAATGTATATGTGCAGAGGGGGCAATAGGAACCAAACTTAAGAAAATGTCCTAGGAGCAACAATATTAGAAAAATGTTAAGGGTCTTAGACAAACATTAAAAGCTAGAAGATTAGCAGTTTGTAGGGCTTTTCAGCATCTGAGACACCACAGGGGGGGACACTTAACTACTTTTTTGGTGCCCTTGATGGAACCTACATGTTAAAGGACAACCTTCACTGTGAATCTGCTTTCTTTGCAACAGACCTTTAATGTTAATCCATTGTAGTTTATTGGGTGATTACTGTAAAGAGGCTTCTGGTCCAGGAGGAGTAGGCATTCTGCAAATAGCATCCTGTCTATACTCATGTGGAAATGCTTGTAGTCTTGTCCTTCTCTTACTTTCTCCTCCCACATAGATTCTTTCAAATTCATACTGTTTGCTGTAACATGGGCTGTGTTGGATGTTAAGTTTTCTGTGTTAGGCTGTGCATATGGGAATCACCACTGAAGAACATCCATGTCATATGTGGGCTCACACCTGTCTTAGTTTGGTTTAATTATGAATTATAGATTCTTGCTGTGGCAAATCTGTGTTTTGTTGTAAAGCAGAGGAAACATCCTTCTAGAATTAAGAGGAAAGGTTCCTCTAATTCAGAATGAATTGATCTTTATTTTTGATTAGAGGCTATAGAAATAGAAGTTGAGCAAAAAATTATTGAAAATTCTTGTAAACTAATTTCAAATTGATGTTTTGAAATTGTATAATCTCATGTCTTGAACAGAAGTGAAAAATAATTATTCTGGTCATTTGAAACCAAATATTTGCCTTTTCACTTTGTTCTAAAATTATTCAGGCTGCAATATGTAATATTTAAGGTGAGGCAAAACAAAAATATGAAAGGATAGAGTTGTTTGTTCTCACAGTGTACTCACAGATGTTGACAATTCCTGTTTTATACAGTATGGTGTGATGAGCAGACTAAGTGTCCCTGTAAAAACAAGGAGGAAAGAAACGCCAAGACAAAGGAATTCAAAGCACCAAATGACATTCTCAGAAGCAGGAAAGAAAGCCCTAATCTTTGACTCAAAGCATTTCAGAGAGAAAGCAGTATTTGAACCATGGCAAACCTGTGGGTATACTTTACAAAAGTTTCATTACTGAGATGAAATAATCTCTTGTTCATGAGTAACCATTATGTGGGCTTATGCACATGGCTCATTGGCTAAGAGCACTTGCTTCACAAGCATTACAACCTGAACTCTCTAGAACTCAAGTAAATAGCTAGGCATGGCCTTGTGTACCTGGGATCTGGGGAGTGGGCATGGGCAGAAACAGGATTGATAGGGTTTTCCTGGCCAGCCAGCTCAGCTCCCCCACCCTCTAGTACCCCCCAGAAAAGGAAGAGAACAACAAGAACAAATGAACAGAAACCTATCAAGCTCCAGGCTCAATGAGAGACCCTGTCTCAAGGGACTAAGGTGAAGGCAACTGAGAAAGACACTGTTGTCTTCTCTGGCCTCTTTGCACAGACGTGCATGCTGCACACACATGCAGAGAGAAAAGTGAAGAACCATTACATTACAAGACTGTAAAACAACCCGATGTATTTCAGAATGAATCCAGACTTGAAGTAACTTTAAAAGCAATACTCATACAGTTACCTATTTTAAGGTAAATAGAAACAGTTTTTGTAATTCTTACCTAAAGAGACTCTTGATCCTAACAAAAAGATCATGCATATTCATAAAATGAAGTTTTGAAAGATGTCACAGTTGTCCTGACTACAAACTCTCATTAGTAATACATCATAGATTTATATCAGCCACAGTGACTATGATGCCTTAGAAACATACTGGCCTAGAACAGTCAGCATAGTAGTGAAGTTGGCCTAGCCTTTAAGGTCTATTCAAATATTCACTTTTTTCTTCTTCTTCTTCTACTTTTTTTTTTTTTTTTTTGGACAGGGTTTTTCTGTTTACCCTTGGCTGT